GATCTGGAAGAATTAGCAATAAAGCGGAAATTTTAAGTCTGACAGTAGGCCTGCCTTCTGGTTGGCTCCCCGCCTACCTGGAGAGTCAGAGAGTTAAGGGATTCAGTCAAGTAGTGTACCCACCATACTTTTTATTTATTTATTTATTTATTTTGGATGCTGGCCAGTATAGGGATCCAAACTTTACCATGGTTAGCTCTAACCAACTGAGCTAACTGGCCAGCACCTATCCATACTTTTTAAATTGCACTTTTTTTTTTTTTCCTTTTTTGTCTTTTTTCGGGACCGGCAACGGATCGCAACCCTCAGTGTCGCGCCCATACCGGACCGGGACCGGCAACGGGATCGCAACCCTCGGTGTTGCGCCCACACCTCGCTCAGCCAGTGAGCTGCCGGTCTGTATGTGGGATCCGAACCCTCGGCGGGAGCACTGCCGCGCTCCCAAGTGGCGCGCTGTAGCAGTGCGCCACCAGGCTGGCCCTAAATTGCACTTTTGAGAGCTGCACCTTCAGGACTGCCTGGTGGCCTCCTGCCATGAGCAGCACCGTGATGCCAAATTAAATCAGCCTGGCAAGTTCAATGACTCCTGTGTCTCAGAGAGGAAAACTCCAAACAAAACTATTAGTCTCTGTCCTCCCCCTTCTTAGAGAATCCTTCAAAAAGGCCTCTGTCTTCAGAGGAAGGTTCATGGTGGCACAAAGTAGGGCTCGAGGGTCTGTCAGCCAGGGTTGGGGTCTCTGTGCTGCTACTAGCCTGCTGCATGACCGTGGGCGATTGCTTATTCCCACTGTGAGTCATGTCCTCATCGTGAACTGGGGATAATAATGGTTCCTCTGTGTAGTCGCCGTGAGTGTTCAATGACCTGATACATGAATGGAATTGAGAACTCAGCTCTTAGTCATTGTTTGCTGTTATTGCTAAGTATATGATGTTTGACTTGATTTATTGGTTTCCAGCTCCTCTTTGTCATATTCCTAAGCTCCACCAGAAGCTTTTTTCACCCAAAGTTCCCCTCCTGCTTTATCCCACACCCTGGCAACAATCTCTAGAAATCTGGGTCTCCCTGGTGGCAGTCCTGGGGGAGAATGAGACTGGGTCACTCTTGCTACCTTGGCCTCTCAGCAGTGCTTGGCTGGGGGTGACATTTTCTCCTGTGGCTTCTGGATGGCATCTCGCTTTTACTTCTCTTCCTACCTTGCTGGCCCCTTGTCAGTCTCCTTTGCTGGCTCCTCATCTCTCCAGATTGAAATGCGGGGCCCAGGGGTCAGCTCTTGTGCCTCTTGTCTGTCTATATTTATGCCCTGAGGGACCAGATCTAGTCTCTGGCTTTAAGTGCCCTCCATAAATAGGTAAGTTCCAAATTGATATCACTAATCTGGACCTCTTTCCTGAACTCCACACTCAGACATTTATCTAGCTGTACCCTTGACATGCCCACTTGAGTTATCTAATTAACTCTCAACATGTCCAAAACTGGCTCCTAATTTCTTCCCCCCGATCCCCCAACAAATAAAAGTCAAGCCAAAAATCCTGAAGTTATCCTTTATCCCTTTTTTTCTCACACATGCTAGATCCAATCCATCAAAAAAACCAGAAGCTAAACTGTGGCAGGTGGCCTCCAAGATGACTCCCGGTGAGGCCCATCTCCCAGTATTCAAACTTTTGTGTAATCCCCTCCCACATTGTGCCTAGGTAGTTCTCTGTGACCAACAGAATTTGTCAGAAGTGATGGCATGTCACTTCCAAGATTAGGCTATGAAAGACAATGTAACCTCTGTCTTGGCACCTCTCTCTTCCTCTGTTCGTCTCTGTTTCTCTCATCCTCTTACCACTTGTCCTGGGGGAAGCCAGGTGCCACAACTTGAGGACATTCAGGCAGCCCTGTGGAGAGGCCCATGTGGTGAGGAACTGAGGGTTCCAGCCAACAGCCACATGCATGACTTTCTTAGAAGCAGTTCCTCCAGCTTTGCTGAAGGCCTCAGCTGATGCAGATGACTACAACCTCACGAGGGACTCTGAGCCAGCACCACCCAGCTAAGCCACTCCCAGACTCCTGAACCTCCAAAGTGGTGAGATAAATGTTTGTTATTTTAAGCCAGTAAATTTTGGGATAATTTGTTATGCAGTACTAGATAACTAACAACAACCCCTGTCCCAGATTATTGAAGTAGCCTGCTAACTAGTCTCGCTGTACCCACCCTTTGCCCACAATAGCTTGTTCTCAGCACAGCAGCTAGAACCAGCCTTTCAGAACATCTCAGGTCATGTTATTTCTCTGCTTGAAACGCTCCAATGGCTTCCTGGCTCACGTAGGGTAAAAGTCCAAGTCTTGCGTGATCTTCAGCCATTCTCCCGTCTTGTCTACTGTAATCCGGGCACACTAGTCCTCTACCTGGAGATGGCGTCAGATGCCACAGGTTGAGAGCTCAGTACCAAAGACTCCCATCCCCGCCCTCGCACCCTTCTGATGCCAATCACAGCTACAGGTTGTTTTTCCTGGCTTTCTGATTGGGCTGTAAACCAGGGCTCCCACAACCTCTCCTTGGGTTTGACTGATTTGCTGAGTGGCTCACCAAACTCAGGGAAACACTCACTTACAGGTACCCATTTATTATAAAGGATATTACAAAGGATACAGATAAAGAGATGCATAGCATGAGGTACGGGGACAGGGGCACGGAGCATCCATGCCTTCCCTCGGCATGCCACCCGCCAGGAACCTACACATTTTCGGCTATGTGAAAGCTCTCCAAACCCAGGTCCCTTGGGTTTTTACAGAAGCTTGATTACATAGGCATAATTGATTAAATCATTGGCATTGGTAATCTACTTAACTTTTTGTCCCTCCCTCTGTCCCAGAGGTTGGGGGTGGAACTGCCCTGGCCATTCTGGTGACCATCCCCCATCCTGAAGCTACCTAGGGTTGGCCAGCCATCCGTCAACTCATTAGCATACAAAAAGACAGCACTTTGGAGATTCTAAGGATTTTAGGAGTTGTATGCCAGGAAAGGGATAGGAACAGGAATGAAGACCAAACATATACCATATTTCAAAATATCGTGGGCACAATTCACCTCATAACATAAATACAAACTTTCCATGTAGAGAATTTCCTGTAATCTTGTATGTATTTATTAAATTAGTAATTAATGATTGTATTAGTTCCCTATTGCTGTTATAACAAATTGCCACAAACTTAGTACCTTAAATGATCAAATTTTTTTAATTTTTTTATTTTTTTTATTTTTTTAAAGATGACCGGTAAGGGGATCTCAACCCTTGGCTTGGTGTTGTCAGCACCACGCTCAGCCAGTGAGCAAACCGGCCATCCCTATATGGGATCCGAACCCGCGGCCTTGGTGTTATCAGCACCTCACTCTACCGAGTGAGCCACGGGCCGGCCCAAAATGATCAAATTTTATTATCTCACAGTTCTGAAGTTCAGAAGTCTCCTGGGCTAAAATCAAGGTGTTGGTAGAACTCTGTTCTTTCTGGAGGCTCTAGCGGAGAGTCTGTTTCTGTGCCTTTTGCAGGTTCCAGAGGCTGCCTGCACTCCTTGGCTTGTGGCCATTCCTCCATCTTCAAAGCCAACAGTGGCCGGTCAAGTCTTCCTCAAGCCATGCCACTCTGACACTGCCTCCACAGTCACATCTCCTTCTCTCACTCTGACCCTCTTGTCTCCCTCTTTCCCTTATAAGGACCTATGATGTAACGACATTGGGCCCACCAGGATAATCCAGGATTATCTCCCCATCTCAAGATCGTTAACATAATCCCATCTGCAAAGTCGCTTTTGCCATATGAGGTCACATGTTCACAAGTTTTGAAGATTAGGATATGGACATCTTTGGGGTAAGGGGGACCTTATTTTCCCTACCACAGTGATTTATGTCACAACACCTTAAACTGTGAAATCAAAAACATGGCTGAATTCTTTTTCCAGATTTGCACTTTTTTTTTTTTTTAAAGATGACTGGTAAGGGGATCTTAACCCTTGACTTGGTGTTGTCAGCACCAAGCTCTCCCAAATGAGCCACCGGCCCTCAGATTTACATTTTTAAAAGACAAAACGGTCATGTTTATTATTTTAAAAGTCATTCATACAATACAAAGTATACAAACTGTTAGCACAGTGATTAAGAGTGTTTCTTAATACAGACTACTTCAGTTCAAATCCCAGCCCCAAAATTTACTAGATACATGATGTTANCAGTTCTGAAGTTCAGAAGTCTCCTGGGCTAAAATCAAGGTGTTGGTAGAACTCTGTTCTTTCTGGAGGCTCTAGCGGAGAGTCTGTTTCTGTGCCTTTTGCAGGTTCCAGAGGCTGCCTGCACTCCTTGGCTTGTGGCCATTCCTCCATCTTCAAAGCCAACAGTGGCCGGTCAAGTCTTCCTCAAGCCATGCCACTCTGACACTGCCTCCACAGTCACATCTCCTTCTCTCACCCTGACCCTCTTGTATCCCTCATTCCCTTCTAAGGACCTATGATGTAACGACATTGGGCCCACCAGGATAATCCAGGATTATCTCCCCATCTCAAGATCGTTAACATAATCCCATCTGCAAAGTCGCTTTTGCCATATGAGGTCACATGTTCACAAGTTTTGAAGATTAGGATATGGACATCTTTGGGGTAAGGGGGACCTTATTTTCCCTACCACAGTGATTTATGTCACAACACCTTAAACTGAAATCAAAAACATGGCTGAATTCTTTTTCCAGATTTGCACTTTTTTTTTTTTTTAAAGATGACTGGTAAGGGGATCTTAACCCTTGACTTGGGGTTGTCAGCACCAAGCTCTCCCAAATGAGCCACCGGCCCTCAGATTTACATTTTTAAAAGACAAAACCGTCATGTTTATTATTTTAAAAGTCATTCATACAATACAAAGTATACAAACTGTTAGCACAGTGATTAAGAGTGTTGCTTAATACAGACTACTTCAGTTCAAATCCCAGCCCCAAAATTTACTAGATACATGATGTTA